TTTTTTTTTTTTTGGCAGCTGGCTGGTACAGGGATTGAACCCTCAACCTTGGTGTTGTCAACACCATGCTCTGACCAACTGAACTAACCGGCTGGCCCCTTCTCTCCATCTTTGATCTGTGGTTTCCTTCCCCCTCAGCAGAACAACTCTCTCTGCTACTTTGACTACAAGATGGACAGAGAATGGCTGCCTCAGAGTTCCCAAGTCACTCTTGAGACTGTCCCCTTCTTTGGTCACATGCCAAATTCCCAGGGAAGGAGCTTTGATTGGATAGCCCGGGTCAGGTGGTCAGCCCTGGTCACAGGTGATTGGATCAACTTGAACAAATATGGCAGCTGGAGCCCACAAGGGCAGATTGTGGGAACAGTTAAGGGTATCATTATTATGACAACTAATGGCTGACTCCCCCCTCAAAAAGGGATCTACTTTACCCTCTTCCCCCTTTCCTGATGCATATACCAAGTCTCTCTGGTAGACCACAGAATCAGCAGCCTCCTAATTCCTGCCATTCTTGAGGATGGGTGGCAGCCACCCTACCCAAGTCTCCAGCTCTCTCTGACGGTGCCACGCCCAGGCCAGGACCCAGATGGGCATCCAGGACAAGCCTGTGGGCCGTGGAGGAGCTCAAACTGAGCGGGCCATCCTTGAGAACCAGAAGCAGGGGTGCAGTAAAGTGTGGATTGTCCAAAGGTGATGTGGCTCCACATGAACTCTAGGAGGAGACAGTGGTGCTTGGTAATGGGGACCGCATGTGCGGGTTTGGAGGGTGAGTGCACAGCAGACTGGGGCCCCCAGCGGGGCAGAGCTGAGGCGGGGAGGCTGCGTAGGGCGGGGCCGGGGCTCACACTGCACGTGCTTTGGCTCAACTGATGCATCTGAGAATCCACAGGCCAGCGCTGTGTGTGCCAGTTGGCTCCGAGGGTTCTATAAGTTTATTTTGTGTTATTTATTAATATAAACAACTTTTGTAGAACACTACAGAAATTTTTTAAAGCACAAAGAAGAAAAAAATCACTCATCCACAAATCACTGTTAACCTCTTTGCATATATCCTTCTGCTAATTTTTTGGTTTTTTAATGAACAGATTGGGGGGGGTCTAAAATAGGATCATTCTAAATAAACTGTTTCAAAACCCGCTTTTCTCACTCCACAAAAACAAGGTGCTCTTTCCCATGTTCTTACATGGTCTTCTGTAACATTTCTGCGCATTTGAATGGAGGACGGGGAAAAATGTCAGCTGCATTCATTGCTCCCAGTGGGGCCCTGAGAAGCTGCAGCCCCTCTGTTGATTTCTTTTCCTTCTGTTAAAATTATGGAATGTCTTCCTCACATTGCCCTCATGCCCACCCCACAGCTGTCCCCAGGGCAGGGGGCCCCACTCTTGCATGTTCCCAGCACCCATGGGCCAGCACCATACTGCATGGACTTGCTGCGGTCACCCAGGCTGGGGACACTCTGTGGGACACGTGTACAGCCCAGTCACTCCAGCAGGCTTCCTGCACCCCCGCTGCCCTCTGCCCTGAACTGCTGACCAGCCCGCACCTGCTGGCTCACCGTTGCTCCTCTCCTCCGCTTCTCTGCTTTGCAGGCTCTCCCCCAGGCGTGGCAGAGGGAGACTTTTTGGAGCTGACCCACCACAGGAAATCATCAGGTAATGTCAACACCCACAGTAATAATAACAACCATGTATGGAGTGCTTGCTCTCCACCAGGCAGGTGGAAAGCACTTTGACAGCCATTAAAGCTAATTTGTGCCACAACTCTACAAGTCAGAGAGGATTGCCCTCATTTTATAGTTGGGGAAACTGAGACTCAGCGCAATCAGGAGTAGTACTTTGAGTAGTAGTACTCAGCTAGTAAAAAGGAGACTAGAGATTTGAAACCAAGACTGGTCTGAGTCCAACTTTATACACTTCTGTAAGCCACGCTGCCTCAGGAACTACAGAGGTAAGAAGGGCACAGAGTGTTGGTCGAACATCTTGGGGGTCTGAAGGCCAAAAGAGGTCACCTAAGCCAGCAGTCTTTCTGCCACGGGGGCCGGGGCTGGGTTGCTGGCATAGTGATCTTCTTCTGAGTCTGTTAAGGGTACAGATTCAGAGCTTCCCAACAACCCAGTGAGGAAGGTGATATTGTTACCCTCATTGTAAAAGAGAGGGAGATCAAGGCTCAGAGGTTAATTTACTCAAAGCTGCACAGTTTGAAAGTGGGCAAGTGGACTTTGATCCGAGTTCATAAACACCTCCACCCCCACCTGCAGCCCGGACACCTCCCTGCTCAGCCCCAGGCTGAGCTCCTCCGTGGCTTACCCCAGCTGTGGCTACTACTATGGTCTAGGGTTTGACAAATCTCCTAATTGCATCCTTGGAGGCAAACGCAGGGATTTTATCATTAAATAATATTTCTGTTTGGGAGTTTGGTAGCCTCAGGTTTCTCCTCTGATCAGGACACATAACAGAGGGCATGTGACACAGATGGCCAGAAGGGAAGCTAGTCCAGGAGACGTTGACAGACCACCTCGTCCTCATACCCTGTCTTTGCAAGGGAGGGGCACCTTTCTTCCTCCAGGGCAGGGGCTAGTGGGAGAAAGAGGGCTTACAAGAGAGTTCTCCAGCCCCTTGTTGTTTGTAGGTTATTTTATTTCTGTTATTTGGGGGCAAGGCAGCTCCAGGGTTCTGTTAACTTTCTGTCCTGTAACCCCACCCCTTTCCTCTTAGGGTGACCTTGAGCCGCAAAACTGCTGTCCACGTGGACCGGGGCTGACATCGCACGTCCATCTGCCAGGACACCTGCGTCCAAACTCCGAGACATGGCAACCAACGGCAGCAAGGTGGCCGATGGGCAGATCTCCACTGAGGTCAGCGAGGCTCCTGTGGCCAATGACAAGCCCAAAACGCTGGTGGTCAAAGTGCAGAAGAAAGCGGCGGACCTTCCCGACCGGGACACATGGAAGGGCCGCTTCGACTTCCTCATGTCCTGTGTGGGCTATGCCATTGGCCTGGGCAATGTCTGGAGGTTCCCCTATCTCTGTGGGAAAAATGGCGGAGGTAGGTGATGGCCCGGTGGCCTCCCGGCTGGCTGGGTCTGCACCCCACGGAGAGCATCCCACTTAGGCATTTCCTGGGGCAACCTTAGGGGAAAAGGCCCCCTAAAGACTCCAAAGGAAGTACCAGGCCCCACTTCTTGATTCTTGCCCCCTTATCAAAAGATTCCTAAAGGATGATTGTCCTCTGTAAATGACTCCAAAAGGTTCATTTATTCATTCTGCAAGTACAGGGATGTATTTTGAGCAAAGAATGCCCTGGGGACTCAGTTTGGCACTGGGTGTTGCTTTGGAGACAGGATGTAAGGAAATCCTGGATAGGAACCCAGAACCATGACAGGGGGTTTCTCCAAAGCCTTGGGGCCATGAGCATCTGTCTTCTCAACCCCACAGGGGCCTTCCTGATTCCCTACTTCCTGACACTCATCTTTGCGGGGGTCCCACTCTTCCTGCTGGAGTGCTCCCTGGGTCAGTACACGTCCATCGGGGGCCTGGGGGTGTGGAAGCTGGCCCCCATGTTCAAGGGTAAGTCTGCAGAGTGGGGCCCTGGGGTCGTGGCAGTGCTCCCACCCACAGAACTGGGTGAAGCTGGAGCTTCCAAACACCCAGCCCCTCTGGAGAGAGGGAGCCACTTGGTTCACATCTGAGCAGATTGGAGGCTTGGAGGCCATAGCAAGGGGCCTGGTGACACGTGGCCACATTGGTCAGAAAGTAGGGTGTGGAGGGGAGAGGAAAGACCCAATCCAGAGACCTCCACATGCCAGTCTGCCCTGTCCTGTTAGTTCATTTCCCCAGCAAGGGCTCGGTGTGATTTTCTTTGCTTCCACACGCAGTGCCTGCCAGGCACTCGGGTGGACGCATGGAGAATCACATTTACTGACCAAGGCTTGGGGCCACCTTGCCTAGTAGGCTGAGATCCTGGCCCCACCCGCCGCCAGCCTACACTGGGCCCCAACCCAAGTCCTGGCTTCCTCGCTTGCCAGAGTTATGTGACTTTCGGGAAGTCACTGCCTCTCTCTTAGTCTCGTTGTCCTCAGTAATGCCTGTCTGCAGGGTCAGTAAGGTCATTGACACTGTGGGGCACAGCAGAGTAGCTGCTGTTATGACTATATTAAACAGATGTGGTGACAGTTGTTCCACTCGCAGGCGTGGGCCTTGCTGCTGCTGTGCTGTCCTTCTGGCTGAACATCTACTACATTGTCATCATCTCCTGGGCCATCTATTACCTGTACAATTCCTTCACCACGGTGAGTGCCCAAGCCCACCCTCTGTCCATGGGACTGCCATTCTGCTGACAGGGCCCTTCTTCCAGGGAGTAGGTGACGCAGTCTGTCCTCAGTAGCCCTTGTCTCCACGGTAGTAGCACTGTGAATTGAGCACCTTCTCTGGGCCAGGCACTTCATGTGGGCTATCATCTAATCCTCACGACCCCCCTCGAAGGTGGGTATTGTTAGCCCATTTTCTATGAACCCAGACGGCTGGGTTTTAATCCTGACACTACTATTTGCCAGCTGTGCAACTTCAGGAAAGAGACTTAACCTCTCTGAGTGTTAGTGCCCTCTTTTATAAAATGGGAATAAAAGCAAAACCCCCTCAATTCCTCAAGAAATTAAAAATGGAATTACTTATGATCCAGCAATTTCACTTCTGGATAAAGACCCAAAGACTGAAAGAAGGGTCTCAAAGAGATATTTGCACACCCATGTTCACAGCAGCATTATAGCTTAAATATGGGAGGAGCCCAACTGTGCATTTACGAACGAATGAATAAGCAAAATAAATGTGGTATATACAGATAATGGAATATTATTCAGCCTTAAAAAGGAAGGAAATTCTGATACTTGCTGCAACATGGAAGAATCTCGAGGACATTATGCTAAATGAAATAATCCAGTCACAAAAAGACAAAAATACTGGATGATTCCACTTATACACATATGAGGTTCCTAGAATGGTCAAATTTATAGAGATAGAAAGTAGAGTGGTGGTTGCCAAGGGCTGGGGGTAGCAGAAAGGGGGAGCTATTGTCTAATGGCGACAAAGTTTCAGTTTTGCAAACTGAAAAGAGTTCTGGGATGGATGGGGGTGATGGTTGCACAGCATTATGAATATACTTAATGCCACTAGACTGTGCACTTAAAAATGGTCAGGATGATATATACTTTATGCTATGTGTATTTTACCATAATAAAAAAAATAGAAGAAATAAAAGTGAAACAACTTTAAAATCCTCATAACAACTCCTCATAGGGTTGTTGTGAGGATTAAGGAGCAGATTCAGGTAAAGTGCTCAGGACCGTATGTGGCACGGAGTGAGTGCTGGAGTGTTTGCTGTTATCACTGTTGTGCAGAGAGTCAGATGGGGAGTCTCTTGCCCAAGGTCGCATAGCTGGGAAGTGGCTGCAGGGTAGACACCAGAGACATTACGGTCCAGCTTGGAAGGCTGGTTCTCGAAGTGAACAGATTGAGGTTCAACTTTCAGCTCTGACACTTCGTAGCCGTGTGACCTCGAGCCATTTGCTGCCTCTCTCTCATCTATAAAGCAGGACTCACAAGGCCTGTCTGGAGCTCTGCCTCCCAGAGCTCCTGGGGAGGGGCGGTGAGATCATGGCTGTGAGGTGGCCTGGGGGGAGACCATGAGGGTGGAGAGGGTGAGCTGAGACCACTTTTGCCAGCCCCTGGGTGCTTAGTGGGGTTTGTCCGTGCGACTGTGTCCTTGCAGACGTTGCCATGGAAACAGTGTGACAACCCCTGGAACACAGACCGCTGCTTCTCGAACTACAGCATGGTCAACACCACCAACATGACCAGCGCCGTGGTGGAGTTCTGGGAGTGAGTATGGCCTGTCTGTGGGGGGCGGTGAGGGGGAGGACATGTCAGCCAGCGCCCGACAGCAGAGACAGACACCCTCGAAAGGGTAGTGGAGGAGTGTGATAAAGGGACTGTTTGTGGAGATGTGGGCTGGGTTAAGGGAGCCTCACGGCATGTCGAGTCCTTTGCTCCCCAGAGAGAGCTGGACTGAGGAAGGGGCCACAAGACACAGGACGTGTCTAGCATGAGAAGACGCCTCTCACCTCCTGCCCTCTCATCTCCAGCCAGTGCCTCTCACTGGTCAAACTCAGTGGAAGCCAGAGGACAAGGGACCGGTGCCACAGCAGTCAGACTCCTGGGGCCAGCGCAGGGTAGAGAAGGGTGGAGAGTGGGTCCAGAGGGGCAGACAGAGAACCAGCATAGCCAAGAAGAATCGCCCAGAGAGGCCAACAATGTCCTGATTCATCCTGAAAACCAGCCCAATCTACTTATAAACCCAGAGTCACTTGGCATAAACACACGCACACACACACTCTGGCCATAGTGAAGGCCATGCTGGCTGTATATTCAAGGGGGTGCTTCATAGAAGATGTGTGTTGGGGGCACTGATCTGACAAAATGAGGTACCGGGCCCAAATGTCTTTGGTATGAAGGAAACATCTGTGCTGGGCAGCTTGGAAGGGTCTGTGAGCAACCGAGAAGGTTCCAGTGCACCTTGGATAAGCTTCCAGGAGGAGCTGTTCTCAAGAGGGGTCAGGACAAGTGAAGCCAATCTCATGGTGGTGCGGTGGCTTTGGCTAGGCTGTTTTCTTACAAATAAGAACCAAATTCTTCTCCCATTGGTTCTGATTTCTGGCATCTCCCACATGCAGCTCTCACACGTTAGACTATTTATTCAACCATTGATTCAATAAACATTTCCTGAGCACCTACTGCGTGTGTGCCAGGGTGATGAGAGACATGGCAAAGAGGTGACGACAGCACCAGGGGACCAGTGCTGAGAGGAGGGGAGCCCAGGAAGCCATGGGTGCCCAAGGAGGCACCTGGACTGGCTTTGCTAAGGAGTGGCATCTAAAGGTGAAACACAGTGTAGGAAAGGCAGGAGTGAGCAGAGGAAGAGCAGGTGTGAGGCTTGGAGGCTGGTGAGAGCAGGAAAGGCACTGGGAAGAGTGTGGGGGGCTGTGGAGCATGGGACTCAAGAGACCAGCAGGGGCCAGCTCAATGGAGGCCTTGAAAGGCCAGCAGGGAGTTTGGGCTTCAACAGGAGGAAGGGAGCTATTCACTGCAGGATGTTAAGCAGGGCAGTCACATGATCAGACTTGCAATTTAGAAAGATCCCTGGGGCAGCAATGGGGACAGGGCAAAAGTGAGGGCTGGGTCCCACTAGGAGGCAGCCACAGCTGTGCAGGTGAGCAATAATGGTGGCTGAACTGAGGCTCTGGCAGCAGGTCCTGCTCTGTGTGATCTCTTGACCAAACAGCACTTTCTAGTGGTATCATGGGCCTCACAGTCCCCTTCCACTTCTTGAATTATACTGATCACGGTGTCAGCACAATCACAGGGAAGGAGGCCATCCACCTCCATGCCCTGGGTACCTGCAGGTCACTCCAGCTCCCACCAGCCCCATGTGACTTTCTCCCTGCTCCACTGTTCAACCAGGCGCAACATGCACCAGATGACAGACGGGCTGGACAAGCCAGGTCAGATCCGCTGGCCGCTGGCCATCACCCTGGCCATCGCCTGGATCCTTGTGTATTTCTGTATCTGGAAGGGTGTTGGCTGGACTGGAAAGGTAAGGAGTGTATATGCACAGTGGGGACAGGAGGGGAACTGAAAGGGACAGGTCTACAAAGGGATCTTTGCTCTGGACAAAGAGTCTGCATTGCCCAGGAACCCCATCCAACCCTGAGTTAAGCAGATCCTTCAGCTCTCTGTGCCTCGGTTTCCTTTCCTATAAGATGGATATAGTAACATTACCTACCTTCCAGGATGGTTGTGAGGATTCAGGGCAATGATGCTAGACAGGCATATAGCACAGTACAGGCTCGGGGCAAGTCCCAAGAGATCCCACTGAGCCTGATAGAGCCATCACAGAACAGAGGGCGAGTGTTGCTCAAGGCCACTGAACAAACTTTCCCCGAGCACCTGCCCTGTGCCAAGTCTTGTTCTCGGTGCGTGGTATTTAGACATGAAAATGTCACGTCCCTACTCCTGAGGAACAACAGAGATGGATAGATTAATGGTTACATACTCAGGCTCTGTATTCTGACAGTCCTGAGTTCAGATCTCAACTGGGCCATTTACTATGTAACCTTGGCAAGTCACTTTGCCTTTCCGAAACTCAGTTTCCTCCTGTGTAAAATGGGACTAATGATTATGATCATCTGTTGGTTTGTTATGATAAGATAAGATGGTGATTCTGTAAAGCACTCAGCACCTATTCAGGGGAGTTGGTATTGTTTTTGTTTTTATTATGCAAGTGCCTAGCAATGCCAAGCTGGGGTGTCCAGCCTGGGGATATCTGGGGAACTGACTGATCAAACTGGGAGGAGGGGAAGTGGCTTCACCCCCACCTCTTCCCCCTTTGAAGCCCCACCCCACATGTTTGGAGACAGATGATGTCAGAGTGTCTCACTAGCTCTGGCCTGAAGGAGACTCAGCAAATGTATTGTCTGAGGTATTACAGAAGTAAAGGGCAGAGAAGGGATTTAAACTGAATAAGGCAGGGGCAAGAGGTCAGAACTACCCAAGAAGCTGATGCACAGTTCCAGAAGAGGTAGTGGAAACAAACAAAACAGAACCTTAACAAATTCCACACTTGGGCTTGGACAGAGCTGATGAAAAGCTCTCCAGTCTGGTGGGAACTTTGGACCCCCTGGGTTCTCAGATCCAATATTGATGTCAAAACATCACTGATCTGTCCTGAGGAGCAGGGAGACAGGAGGAGAGCACAGGTATCTCCCACGCAGAGAAGTGTAGGGCTTAAGGGCTTTGAAAGAGAGTTGGAACCTCCGTCCCTGGTTCCTAGTTGTGTGCACTTGGGCAAATCATCTCACCTTTCTGAGCTTCAGTCTCATCGTCTGTTAAATGCTCACAATAAAAGTACCTTACAGGGTTGCCACCAAGACTGAGGGGAGCAATTCATGCAGAATGCTTAGCATATGCGTAGCACATAGTAGGCACTCAATACATGGTATTGATTATAATCATTCTGGGGTGGTATCTAGAGTTCCTGCTGTATTAGAAGACTGACCACTTCTTGGGGACAGAGTGTAGGGCCCTTTTCACTGCATCTTTTGATTGTGTAAACCAGTCTATCAACAAGCATTTATTGAACATCTACTGTGTGCCTGGCTCCATGCTGAACATGGGAGACAGGGAATTACAAAACCTAGGCAACATATATTAAGCATGTTGTATGTCCTCACACAACTGACCTTTCTGAGTAGCAAAGGTAATTATACACATTTTTCTGACAAAAGAAAGTGAGGCACAGAGAGGATAAGAAATCAAACCAAAGTCACAAAGCCTATGGGTGACGCAGATGATTTTGAATCCTCTTTGCCTAATTCCATTACGGTGGTTTTTCTAGTGGATCATGCTGCCTTTCCTAATCCTAAAGAATCTCAGAGCCAAATCAGAGAGATGAAGCTAACCCACAGAACAGTCCATGCTGACCAGGAAATAGAGTCACATCAGACTCTGAGATACAAAAGTCCCTAAACTTGAAAATTATTCTTCTACCCCAGTGAGCAAAGAAATGCGATTTCAGAAAATATCAGCCTTTTGATGATCAATTTGGCAAAAAAAAAAAAAAAAAAAAAAAAAAAACAAAAAAAAAAAAAAAACAAAAAAAAAAAAAAAACAAAAAAAAAAAAAAAACAAAAAAAAAAAAAAAACAAAAAAAAAAAAAAAACAAAAAAAAAAAAAAAACAAAAAAAAAAAAAAAAAGTTTTCAGTGCTGATACTAAGGGCCGGCCCAGTTCAAGAAAGGCACTCTCTGTAATGCTGGGTGAAGCTCCATTTCTAGAAGGCAGTTAGGCAATAGGGATCAAGAGCTCTTGAGAAGTTTATTCCTTTTTACTCAGCAATTTCACTTCCAGAAATTTTCCCAGGAGTGGTACAATAATTTTATAGATAAAGATTTATATACAAGGGTGTTCAATGGAGTATTCACATTCACATATGATTGGGAGTAATGTAAATGGATAATAGTAAGGAAAACTTGGAAAAGGATGGTGGGACCTCCTGAGGGACTATTTTGTGTAATTAAAGAATCACATTGTTCAAGAGACAATAAAACAATGTTTAGTAAACAAAACAGGAAACAAAACTGTATTACTGTGTGTTTTATAACTTTAAACATGTTCGATTAAAAGGCAAGTACATAATTTGAACCTCATTTTGTAAGAAAATAGGACCGTGTACTCAGAGTCTTAAAAGAACATTAAAATGTTAACATACATGCATTTATGTATTTGTCAGACATTTATTGAATTTCTACTGTATACCATGGACTGTTCTAGCTATTCAGAGAACTGTAGGTGTGAACAACACAAGCCCTGTCCCTCATGTAACTTACATTCCAGGGACCGTTGAAGGGAACTTTGTGCATGTGTGTTCATATGTAATTTTAAAATTTTCCTGTCACCATGTGTATCACTTGGATAATTTAGAAATCACAAAATTCGAGGGGACGGGGGAAGGGAAAAACCAGGTGCTGAGCTGGTTGGTTCAAACTCCAAAAAGGGGCTTCAGAAAAGTGGCCAAGCAGAGCAGGCTAGGAGTCCAGGAAGGTTTCCGGGAGGAGGAAGGCCAGGAACGAAGCGCAGAGCCACGACAGGTGTGGGTGTAGGTGAAGCTGGGCGCGGGGACACGGGCGCGCTGGAGGGGCGTGACTCTGTCTCCCACCTTGCTCGCAGGTGGTCTACTTCTCGGCCACCTATCCCTACATCATGCTGATCATCCTGTTCTTCCGTGGAGTGACGCTGCCGGGGGCCAGGGAGGGCATCCTGTTCTACATCACGCCCAACTTCCGCAAGCTGTCGGACTCCGAGGTGAGCCTGGAGGGCGCCGCCCAGGTTCAGAGCGAGCCCGAGGCCTGCGCCGCCGCGGACCAGCTTCAGGACGGGGCATTGCGCCTCTCTGAGCCTCACGTGTAAACTGGGGGTCTTGCCAGGTAGAGCTGGTTAGCACATATAAAAGGCCCTGGGGAACTCACAACCTCCCAACGCTATGCGATACCTGCTGTGATTACCACTTTGACAGTTTTGGTAATTCTGCCTCTAGGTGTGGCTGGATGCGGCTACCCAGATCTTCTTCTCCTACGGGCTGGGCCTGGGATCCCTGATCGCTCTCGGGAGCTACAACTCTTTCCACAACAACGTCTACAGGTGCGAGAGGCGGCTGCTGGAGGCCCTTCCTCCCGGCCACGCCCCTCCCTCCTCCAGGCCACGCCCCCTGGCCTCACTCATTCTGTTCGGTCTGTCTTTGGCTTTCCGCTCAACCCCTCTCTGAGCCAATCTCTTATGGTAACATTTTCCAGCCCGATTCTTCTGGCTGCGCCCTCTCCTGGCTTGTTCCTGGGACCTGGCCTTCGGGGACCACGCCTGCCCTGTAGCCCCGCCCCTTGATAGCCACGCCCGTCATAGCGACACCTTCCTGCCAGCCCCACCCCCTGACCCCGCCTCTTCCTCGTTTCAGGGACTCCATCATCGTCTGCTGCATCAATTCCTGCACCAGCATGTTCGCAGGATTCGTCATCTTCTCCATTGTGGGCTTCATGGCTCATGTCACCAAGAGGTCCATTGCTGATGTGGCAGCCTCAGGTCAGCGCAGCCCCATGGAGGACCCGGGCTCCTGGGGAGGGAGGAGCCGACCACGTTGGCGTTTGCAGTCATCTTCACCACCACCGTGGCTCACTGGCATTGAGTGGTCACTCCGTGCCAGGCAATGCACTGAGCGGTTTATATGGACTATACCCCGAGCCTTTCCAATGCTATGTGATAGATGCTGTTGTTATCCCCATTTCATAGATGAAGAAACTGAGGCTCACCAAAGTCACCTGCCCAAGGTCAGGGACTTGAAAGGGACAGAAATGTTGTGGATCTGGAGTTTGAGCCCAGGTCTGGTGGACTCTAAAGCCTGGGTTCTTAGTCTCTTGGTCATACTGGCACATCCAGCACAGTCCTGGACTTTCAGGGGGAGAAGACCCACTCCTGCCCCTGAGGTGTAAACTTTGGTCCACCTCAGACATGTTCATCACCATGATACAAAGCCCCCCAAATCCGAGCTTTTTTCCTAGCTCCAAAAATGCTCTCACCAAGTCGTCTGTGCCCACTCTGCTCACCACACCATCATCAATGCCACAGGGCCAGAGGACAGCCCCAGGCAACCCCACCCCCTTCCCTGCTCAGCCAGATGTGAGGCTCAGGGAGGTGACTTGACTCGTCCCCTAGAGAACTGGGCTGGCCATGTGGAAAGAAACGTTCTCTGCCCTGAAAGAATCTCATTTCTCTAGAACTCCCAGCCACCACCACCACCACCACCACCCCACCCACATCCAGAGCCAAACCCAGGGAGGTTACATTCTCCTTCTCATTCCAAGGTTTTCCCTGATCTCTTAAGCAACCCCACCAGACACTCAAACACACCGTGTCCCAGACAGACCTCCCCCAGCCTTCTCTTCCCCTGGGCTCCCCATCACAGGAAGGGTTCCACCATCCAGTGTCCAGGCCAGAAACCTCGGCGGCATCCAGGGTTCTTCCCTCACCCTGCAAGCCAGCCAGTACCAGGGCCTGCCCTTCTGCTCTTGTCTCTCTCCATCTGGCCACCTTCTACACCTGCACTGTGTCTACCTCTGGCCAGGCCGCTGCAGTCCCTCATCTGGACAATGGGCACAGCTCTTCACTTGTCTTCTTGTCCCCCACCCCATTTCCTCATATGGGGTGACAACACTCTCAAAAGGTTACTCTGAAGACGAAATGAAACAAGACGTAGAAAGCGAGTGGTGTGCTGGGTATGCTGTAGGTGCTTAATACCTGCTTTTCTTCTTCTTTGCATTTCCCTCCACAGGCCCCGGGCTGGCCTTCCTGGCGTACCCAGAGGCGGTGACCCAGCTGCCCATCTCTCCCCTCTGGGCCGTCCTCTTCTTCTCGATGCTGCTGATGTTGGGCATTGACAGCCAGGTGAAGGCACCCCCTGACACCTTGAGGGCCCCCCCCCAGCCTTCTCAGCCCAGGAGCAAACAGCGAGAGGAGGCCACTCTTAGACCCCCAGGAAGATGTCTAAGAATTTCAGATCCCAGGCCGGCCCGGTGGCGCACTGCTACAGTGTGCTGCTTGGGAAGCGCGGCGGCGCTCCCTCCGAGGGTTTGGATCCCACATGCAGACCGGCCGCTCACTGGCTGAGCGAGGAGTGGGGGCAACACCGAGGGTTGCGATCCTGTTGCCGGTCCCAGTCCGGTACGGGCGCGACACTGAGGGTTGCGATCCATTGCCGGTCACAAAAAAAGACAAAAAGACAAAAAAAGAATTTCAGATCCCTAGAATGTTCCATTGCATGCAACTTCAGGAAACAACTTAGCCAAGTTCTCCATTTTCCAGAAGGGGAAACTGATGCCCAGCGGGAAGGGACTCTCCTGAGTCAGGCAGAATCAGTCTGGGTCCCGGGGTTCTCCTGGCCCTGCTGTCCCACTGCTGCTGTGCCTCCTGTCTTCCCCCAGAGTTCCAGGCTCTGGGTGGGTTGGGGCTGGGGACTGCCACAGGTGGCTGACCTCTGCTCCTGCCTTCAGTTCTGCACTGTGGAGGGCTTCATCACGGCCCTGGTGGATGAGTACCCCAGACTCCTCCGCAACCGCAGGGAGCTCTTCATAGCCGCCGTCTGCATCGTCTCCTACCTGATCGGCCTCTCTAACATCACCCAGGTAGGCTCAGTGGGCACCTGGCACACCCTGGCCCGGTGCCAGGGCCACTCCCAGCACCTCCTTTCCCCAGCCCTGTCATATTCCATCTTTTATCCTGTCATTGAGCACCATCTCTGTGTCAAGCCCAGGGCACACAGCAATGAATCAGACAGGGTTCCTGCCCTCCAAGGGCTCACAGGCTGGTGGGAGACACAGACACTGAGCTAGGAAGTATAGGACAGAACTAGAAAATGCAGCACCTAACCGGCCTGGGGGCCAGGGACTGCTTCCTGGAGGAGGGATGCAGGAGGTGAGTTTTGAAAAGCTCAGAAAGCCAGAGAGTCAAATTGGAGTTGAGCCTTTGAAGTTGACACTGCCCAAAGCTTCCTTTCATTCCCACTTTTCTTTCTGTGTTGATATTAATGAGAAATGCTCTCTGCACTCAAGACCTTCTGAGTCTAGTCAGAAGACATATACATAACCGATGAATTGTATGATAAATATAAATGGCTCTAAAGACAGGAGCTCAGCCCTGAGGGTCTGATTTATGTTCCACAAAATGACTTCTGAATCCAAATACAGTTCTGAGACAGAGTTAGTGTTCATTAATTCCTTCCTTCATTCATAGCTGTTGAACACCTACTATGGGCCTGACATGACCCTGGAAATTCAGTAATTAACATGACACAGTAGATGCTCTCTTGGAGCTTACATTTTGGTGGACAAGATATAACACACAAATTAGATTTCAGAGAGTATTAAGTGCCATAAAGAATAGAGAGTCGGCTAGAGAATGACCAGTGGGGGTGGGAGGGACTCTACCTTAGACAAGGTAGTCAGGGGAGATCTCACTAAGGAAATGACAATTGAGCGGGGACTTAAATGGTGAGGAAGAGCCAGCCAGAGGAAGATGTGGGGGAAAGACAGCACAGCAGGTGCAAAGGCCCTGGGGCAGAAATGGGTTTGGCACATTTGAGAGACAGAACGGAGGTCAGTGTGGCAGAGGCCAAGGGAGTGGGGAGATGGTGGGAGATAAAGACTCAGACCTGCAGGATTTGATTTTACTTTATCTTACATCTCTCTGCTTATTTATGTGTTATATTATTGTCTCACTTAAGCCATTGAAGTTTCTAAGTAGGGGAGAAATGTGGCTGTTTCGTGTTTTGGAAAGATGGCCCTGGTGGCTAACTCCTCCTTCTGCCCTCCAGCCTTACCTGAAGTGGGGTGTTTCCCTCTGCCACCCAGACATTTTTTGGGAGAATTTCCCAGAGAATCAATGCCTGTGTCCTTGCATTTTCCCAAGGCCTTCAGAACTTCCTCTAATCTACCCTTAAGCCTTCTTGCTGCATGTGGCCTGATCCCAGCCTCATCAGACTCCAAAGCCCATGTCATCTGTGAACTGAATGCACCAGGCCCTGGGGGAATGTCGGCCTGTTCTCACCTCTTCTCCTCTTGCAGGGGGGCATTTATGTCTTCAAACTTTTCGATTACTATTCTGCCAGTGGCATGAGCCTGCTGTTTCTCGTGTTCTTCGAATGTGTCTCCATTTCCTGGTTTTATGGTGAGCATCAACCCCTCCTCCCTTATTCATTCATTTATTCGTTCCTTTCTTCAGTCGTCATTCGACAAATCCAACTTACACACCAGCCCCTTTGCCTGCATCAATTAATTTAGTCTTCACAACAGTTCATTGAGGTTAGCACAGGAGTCCTGCAGGTTTAAAAGATAGAAGAGCAATTAGATTCATTTAAAACAGGAGCTAACATGTTTTCATCAATGTTGGGATAAAAAGGTTTGTCTGAGATTTTTATCTAGAAAAGGGAAACCAAAACTATAAAAACAGTTTTAAAGTTATATATTTAACAAAAGCTAGGCTATAAGTAAAAGTATGCACTATCTAAAAACAAATAACTAATAAAACATGGATTTTATTTATTTTTGTGGCCTAAGTTTCTCAAGCCAACTGTATGACAGCCAAAAGGACATCCTTCCCCGCACAGTTGATTGTCACAGGAAGACCACATGTTCTGAGAGCAATGTGACATGCTGTGTATCTTCTTTTTTTTTTAATTGGTTATGAATACTCATGGAGCACAAAGCTGATTGTCACAACTTGTGCCCAAGATGTGATGGCCAGATCTATACTGACAGCGTGTCCAATACCACAAATTGCGATTATACCCCAGCGTGTATCTTCTCTGCAGTACTTGACACCTCATCCCCTTGTCCTTGTCCCGTCCTCTCCCACTAACTGGTCTAACACGGTCACATCCTCACTGGTCGGTGACTTTGCTTGTAATTCAAGCAGTGCCCAGTGCCACTCTGGCGAACTTCAAGACATCCTGAGGGCTTGGGGTTTTTCTTTTTTGCGAGCTTTTCAAAAGGTCTTCTCTGCAATCTACCACCAGTTTTTTATAGCATCAGACCATCAAGGAATATAACTGTCCCTGCCCAGCAAAGCCTTTGAAGGGATGGCTGGGGTAGATGTTA